CTTTGTTGTCAATGACAGCTTCAAGACTTCATTTCTGGACATTTATGGTTTGATTTCTTTGTATGTATGGATCACTTGGGTTGTTACCAACATCTGGTGAAAATTTCATGTCATTAGCACCTCTAGTAATATATTTACTGAGAAAAACGGTGACGTGTTCAATACTTATTTTACCCACTGTGTATTTTGTATTAGTTTCTATTTTCTGCACAATATATGGGTTGAAACCATCAAACATGATGTTCAGGAAATTAGCTCTGGAGCTAATGCCAAAATAGGTATTTTACCAACTCAAAATGTAACTTTAATTATGTCTAGTCATAAATCAACAGGGACCTTCACGCATATCATTTGCATACATTATCCTCGACCACCATGCTCGCCTCACAAAAGAACGGACAGAGTGGATTCTGCGGAGATTCAGTTTTAATACTATTTTTAATACTATAAGAGATAAAGAACAAGTTTCCACACAACTTCAGGAATCACAGGAAAGCTCATTTGAAAGGTGGGCTCAAGGGTGGTGGTCTTCAACAAACGACAAAGGAGGAATTGTAAAAAAGGTTGGTGTTTTAACCGTGTCTTTTAGCTTAGCTTTTTGCATCTATTGTGTGTGTGTCTATTTTTAATCACTTGAGACACTGCTTCTGTGTCATTTCAAGAAACTTAATGAGGTTTAGAATTTGTTAGTAAAATATTATCACTACATATGGACTGTTTTCTGGTCAAATTCAGCTCGTCCCATCACTGGAATCCAGCTGTTAGCCTGCATCACAAAAACACACTACTTACACAAACTTACAAAAAAAATTAAGGAAGATAATTAGCAGTAAAAGTTATGGAGTTGACTTTCTAAAACTGTGAGTAGCCGCCATCTTGAAATTAAAACTGGGGGCAGTCGCATTTCTTTCGCTATACGAGTGGAAGAAATGCGACCTGGGAAATGGAATTACCATTTCCCAGGACTACTGGAACGCAGCAACAGTTCTGTAGCTCAATATTTTGTTGTCCTTCCAGTGGAGTTTGATAAGGTTTTCCAGAATTTATTGAAGTTTAGCTAACTCGGGAGCGGCTACAAGAGTTTGTACTTGCATCACTGTGGAGGGGACATATGGTAGTCGTGTGACTCGTGTTCTAAAAATAGCCAGAGGGTCCCCATTTCAGAAATCTGGAATTTAGGTGTGGTGAAGCCGATTTTATGTCATAACGGCCTGCCATACACATTTGTTTGCTGTGTCTGTTTCACTTTGTTCAACAACTACTGTCGGGGAGATGTTTTAGCAAGCGGGCTTCATTTTCCAGGTACATTTACTTTCTTACGGTACTTA